AAAAACGACTTTGCAGCCTTCGCATGTGCTGGACATTTTCTCATGGCTTGAGGGGAACTCAGCGAATCTTTGGATGAAGGTCCAACCACACACACAACGGTGTCCCATGAAAACACCCCCTCAACTTTGATTCTCAAATTAGAGATACATACCCCTGGCCCAGAATGCTTGATCAATAGCTAAAACCCACCAAAAGGGTGTCTACATAGGTGGCCTGACCACTCTCAACTCCTGCTGATCTGTTTCAACTGTTCACATGTTTCCGGCCCGCCCGATGGCGCTCTAGCAGCACTTCTCTCCCTTGTAAAATGGTTCCTACGTTCCCAACCGATGGACACATCAGTCTCATCCATCTTCTATTGCCTGAGAAACCTGGAAAAAATGCAATAGCTGCAAGTTCTCTGCAATCCCCTGGTTGGCGGGACTTTCAGTGGAAAAAAAAGGTAAACATTACCTCCAGGTTTTGAACTTCCCCAAATTTAGTGACATGTCAACCATGTCCTCAAAAATAGTAATTAATGGAATCAATATTTACAAACACAAGTGGAGATGGCATTATGGTAGATGTTCCAACACAACTTACTCATCACCATGGCTCTCTTTCCCACTCAGCGTGGTGTTCATGAGCTGCGCGCTGCTGCACTCCGTCCGCACCAGCCCATCGCTCGCCGCCTGGTCTGGGTATTCCAGTTGGATTCGGAGACAGGGAAGTGAAGAAATCCGGGGATGGATGAAGGGTTGTAAATTGTAAGTATTGTAGGACATTTGCAGGATGAGAGGATTTTTCAAGATTGAACATTGAAAAAAACTGGAATGAACATGTAAAGAAAGGTTCTCCTAGACGATTCATCAGATCTGTCGGATTGCTTTTGTGAGTCGAACAATCCAAGTTGGACGCATCAAACGAACCAACTGGCTACAGTGTCCACAGCAGAGGTTGCTCCCGCACAATCAAGAATCCCAAACAATTATGTCACACCACAAACACCCCTGACTCACCTGCAATACTGAACAACAAAGAGAAGGAAACTAAAACCTGTGGGCCAATAAGGTCAATCAGATCTATATATGTTTCAATCATCGTTGAACAAGGTAAGCTTGTCTAAGCTGCAAAGCAGCAGCAATCCTACTCATGTTTGGGAATATTCGTGGCTTTCCGCCACGAGTCAAGGCACGAGCAACTTGACATGTCCAGATCAACACCACCCCGTGGGGGTGGCTTAAGTGGTCCACCACTCTTGAACATCGGTGTGTCCAAGGGCTTCTTGTTGACTCAAACAAGCAACCAATCGAAATTTGGTTGGCTTTACTTGTACCTGAAAAAGGGGAATGTATGTAAATGTTGCAAATATTCAAACATATATCATATATATATACATATATATGCCACCCCCCAAACAAAGATTGACAGTTTTTGCCTGTTGCATGCCTGTGTGACACTATATAGACGAAGATGGTCTGCAAATACCAAGTCAAGAGATCCCCAATACAAAGCCACATATCTTTGTCGCGCTTCCAGTGCTCATACTGGGCGCCCCGGATCTGTGTGCGCAGGATAGTGGAGCCAACAGTTGCAGCTTGACGCAGGTGCAGGCGATCCTTGATAAATCGCCAGGCTCGGTCAACAATTTGCGTGCCAGCCTTCCTTCGAATTGTCTTCCCGTTTGGAAGCTTGTGAGTCGAGAGCTTGACAAAAGTAGGCGCTTGCCACACATACTTACATGGTCATGCAAAACACTGTCAGTATGCAGGATGACCTTCTTGTTCTTCAACCACTTCTGGGCAATGGGCTGCCATTCAACTTTTGTGGGTTGCACCTGGTCCTGGTAGAAGGTGGCTTCAGACGGACGAGGGCGAAGGAATCTGGGCGACCACGAGCAAGGAGACATGCCCCTTGCTCCCAGTGAGCGATGGATCCTCAGGTAGCTTTTGTCGAAGATCGCCTTGCCTGCTTCAACGTCATGCCAGTGCCCCCTCCTTTGCCAAGGTTGATGTCCCCATCCTTGCAATCAACATATTTCTTGCGAAGGACTGCCAAGCTGCGGTCCAAGCGTTCCAAAGCCTTGTAATTGATCTTGGTCAGGATGTGGATTGTGCTGTTGGCCAGGCACATGAGGAGAGCAGCAGATTGCACTTGCAAAGAATGTCCTTCCAGAGCCCTGGCTGTTGCGAACAAAGGATGCAAATGCTGTGGAGTGACAACACGCTGGCAGCTCTTGCTGTTGCAGCGATGCCTTGCTAGTCCACTGTCTCGAAGCTGCAGCTTGCCCAAAGGGCCTCGGTTGCACATGGGGCAGGTCTTTCCTTGCAAGTTGAGTAGCAGGCCGTCTTCAATGAGCATCTTGAGAATGATCATCTGATCTGCAGTGAAAAGCTGTTGGACACTCCGCTTCCACTGCATTCGATCCGGCCACTTGTTGCACTTGGGGCCTGCCAAGTACGCAGACCTATTTTTCCACAGTGGCCGAGGCCAGGTCATGGAGTCTGCAGTTTTGAT